GATATCATTCTTTCCATAGCTAAATTCTTCCAGTAACCACCTATAATGTAAGTGACCAGATATCACCGATCGCTACTGGTCTAAGCAAGGCTAAGCAGTTATTCGATCCTGACCTAACAGGGTAAAAGATAATAAGGTAGGCAAGGATAGTAATAAATGCATCAACGGTTTCAATCAACTCCTACAACTTAATGCAACAATATATAAACTCATATATCAGAATAATTGCTTTTATAAAGTAGGAGACTTAGAATGCTCCGGGGCTTGCCTAGGATCCCACACTGAGTCAGTGTTAGTTAGACGACACTCGCTAAATGAGCATCTCCCATCCTAGCACTTGTCCAGTCCTTCCACCTTCAGGATGGGTCCACCATACACCGTCTTCGGGTTCGGCTCCAACATCACGTCCTTCACGTGGTTCATCTAGTGCACCTAGATGAGATGCAAGATGCAAGTGCATGAATATGAAGAATGGTAATACAAGAGGCATCACATAAACATTCAGGACAAACACAAGATTATGCAAGACATAGACACCAATAACTAGTTAACTAACATCACACAACTAACTATAGAGAGCAAGCACATCAAGCATGACACAAGTTTAACAAGGTCACAAGTATCATAACTTGACCATCAACAAGGGCATAAGCTACACCTAGCAACACATGGGGTAAACAACCACAACTAACCTATGTCTATTTCTGAACTGGAAACAACAGCTTCATGTTTGGATCATAACTAGAGTTATACAAATCCAATAGACATGCAACAAGACATTCAGGAAAGCTTATGAAATTATCTACATTTCATCTATAACCATCACAGCATGATTCACAAGTTAAGTGGGTCGAAATTATATATTTACAGAAACTGGTCTAAACAAGACAAAGAGCAATTAATTCTGTAACCCAACTTTAAACAGTTGTAACTCTTAAACTACTTGGCCAAATGACACCAAATTTTAACAGAAGCTAGATACATGAATTATCTACAACTTTTGTATAAACAAATTTCACAACAAAGCACATTATCATAAAGAACTTTGCTATGTCCATAAACTACATCGGCAAGAAAATAATTATTAACTTATGTTGCAAACACATAATTGGGCAAAACCAACCTTACCATAATTTCACACATGACTAAAGAACACCAGAAAGCATGGTGCTCACCTCTAAATAAATTTTCTTAAAGCATTTCTTAATTTATTTAGACATCAAGGTGTATTTATGAACATATACCAAAAATGCACAATAAATTCTACAAAACTTACAGTAGCTCACATATCCTCTCAATAATCTACTGTACAAATTTCACACCATTTTCATAAGTATATCTTCCTCTATGAAAAAGACAATTTGCTATTGCAAGAAATCATGTGAGAGCGAGATAAACCAATAACTCACTCATACTTCATCCAATACTCATGAAATTTTTAACATACATCAATTATCACATGAGTAGCATGCCACAAAAATTTCACTTCATTTGGAGCCCTATATCTGCAGTTATGGAAAATAACAAATTCAACTAGCATTACAACCTTACTGCACAAATCTATTTTTGCAGCTAAAACTTTAAACTAAAACATGACATATTATAGATCTACTGCATAGAAAATTTCACAAGAATTCCAAAAAGTCCTCATTTACTATTTTATGATTTTTACACTAATTACTATGAATTTTTAAAGTTCATCATTCAAATCTGCCTAAATCAAAGAAAAAGACATGTAAATCTTGCATCGGGGTCCCTACAGAAAACATTAATTAAACTACAGCGAAGAGGTCCTTAGGAGCACTATTCAAATGAGTCATGGCTTCGCAGATGGAACCCTCCCTTTTGTCAAATTCGAGGGCGAAGTCCTTGGCGGGATTTTGGAGCAGAGGATGCGCGGGAGCTCGTCGTTGTCGACCGGAGAAGGCTTATCAGTGGCGGAGAAGGGGCGGCGGAGAACAAGCGTCCCCACACGCACCCGTTGGTGGTCTCGGATGGCCGGGAGGCGGCCCGGTCACGTGCACAGGCGGCCGCAGCGGCGACTGCACGACAGCGGTGGAGCTCTGGGGCTTGCTGGCTGGCTGCGAAGGAGGGCCGTGGCAGCGCTACGGTGGAGGCTCTGCCATACTTGGCTGTGCGGTGATTAGCTACGAGGATGAAGAAGGGAGCGGCGGTGGCAGCGAGCTCTGCCGGCCGTCCGTGGCGGACGCGGCCACGCACAAACAGCAGAGAGCAAGGGAGAAATGAGAGAGCAGGAGGGAAGCGAAGATGATGGTTGTGCTCGTGAGGAGCGAGGGGGCTGACAGAGGGGACAACGGCCGCGGCACCGGAGAGCTCGGAGCTCGGCCAAGGCGGCCACGGTGCGGTCACGGTCAGAGAGTGAGAGCGAGTGGGAGGGGTAGGGAAAGAGTGAGGGAAGCCGAGAGGGGCTCGGCCTTTTCAACCACGCGACGCGAGTGTTGGCGAGGTGGTGAGCCAGGGCGGCACAGAGGAACCACGCGGCAGCGAAGTGCTGTGGCCAGTCGGCCATGACGAGCTTCAGATGTTACAAAGACTGAAGGAACTAATACTACCGCAAAATTACGACTGAAACACAAATTTTGACTCCCTCAAACTCCCAAACCAATGCGAATTAGCGAAAACTACACTAATATAAGTTTCAGAGCTACATGAGGTCTCCAACTTTGCTTTAGGGGTTTTGGTCAAACAAGGATTATATTGGAAGATGGAGAGCTGCAAAGTAGGGCTCATGAAACTGAAAATTCAGTTTTCAGTTACTCAGACTTAGCAAATTTTTCGGACTCTGAAAACAGCAGTAGATTCAAAGTTTGAGCCTCAGTTTGACTTAGTTCCAAGTTGATCTGGCTCTTGATCCAAAAACAAAGTTTGTTCTCCTCCACTCAAACTTCAACTTTTATTTAGGTTCCACTACCATGCAAGCAATCTAAGTGATTGGTCAACACAGGTCAAACTGGCATCACGATAAAGCTTAAATAAGAGTTTTAGGCCGATTGGGGCATTTTCTTGATATCTGCTCGACATGAACCTTTCATAACTTCTGTTGTAGAGTTCCTCTAGAGTCATTTGGGCAAGGTTGCAAGGTTCGTTTAATGACCAATGTTTCCATTCACTTAACAGTGCAATTCCAACAGAGATATGACTTATCATTTCATGTGACTTCTTGATTCCAAACTTCATGAAACTTTTTCATGGATCAATATAGATGGATATTGATGTGAGACACATGAAAGAAGTACATCCAACATTACTCAAGCATACTTTTTAGAAACGGCAGCATGTAAGCAATGGTGCATGGTCCAAGTTTAAGTTGGAGCTCACTCTTGTAGATTTGATCTTGACACCTTCATCACCACTTAACATGCCATGTTTGAGCTCAAACCCATTGCTTAACTGGTGACAAACACCTGGGGTGTTACAGCTCGTCAACAGGTGTTAGCAGCAGTGACTGGACACTGGACCGGACGCTGGCGGCAGATCGACCGGACTCAGGACAGTAGAGTCCGGTCGAGTACAGAAAGGTTCTAGAGCAGCGAAACTACGACCGGACGCGTATGGTGGCAGGTGACCGGACGCTGGCAGCGTCCGATCAGTTGATCGTGGCTCCACCGGTTGGGACGACCGGACGTGTCCGATCAGGACGACTTCAGCGTCCGGTCAGTAGCAGAAAAGCGGGACTTTGTCTCCAACGGCTACTTTCTCAGTGGGGCTTATAAATACAACCCCCAACCGGCCAAATGAGTAGTGTGGAGCTGAGGAAACATACCAAGGGTGTTGATACACCATTTTAGTGATCTCCACTTGTATAGTGCTTAGTGATTCATTAGGTGATTAGCGTAGGTGCTTTGCGAAGTGTTTAGGTTGATTAGACCACCGCTTATGCGCTTGCTCTAGGTTTAGGCCTAGTGTTTAGTGAGGTTTGCATACCTCTTACCACTCGTTGCTTGCGCGCATCATTATTGTACATCGGAGGGGCTTGTAGTCTTGCGAGATCACACCAACCGCGTTTGTGGTGTGGCCGCCACCGTGTACCCGAGGGAACAAGGTCCGCGGCGTTTCGGGCGGAAGCTTGATAGTGGAGACGGCGGGGAGCATCCGGGAGAGGCTTGCCGGAAGGAACGTCGGAGACCCCAAGGCTATCAACGGAGTTACCCGACCGGGAGCTTGGCCCTTGCGAGGGATTTCTTGTGAGGGGCTCCAACGAGGACTAGGGGGAAGCTTGCGTGTTTCTCGATACCTCAGTAAAAATACCGGAGTCGTCGACGGGAGTTTGCATATCTCTACCTTGCTCTTTAGCTTCCGCATTTACATTAATTACATATTCCTTTTGTTGTAGAGATAGCAATACACTAGCAAAATCATAGTTGCATATTAAGATAGTTTATCTTTTGCATAGGTTTTGCTAGGGTTAGAAAAAGAGGCCATAGTTTAGAGTTAGAATTTTAAGTTGCCTAATTTACCCCCCTCTTAGGCGTCACGGTCCCCTACAGGGCGCCGTGCATGCACCGGGCGTGGGAAGCGGAGGGGAATGGGCATGCAGCCCCGCGTGCATGCGGGCGCTGGAAGTAGAGGGCGTGCGGGTGTCCGAACAGGAGGCGCGGAGGTTCCCGCGTGTGCACGACGCGCGTGAAATGGAGCAGCAGCGCCAGCGTCCAGATGCAAGCGTCTCGGCGGACATCCGGGCGCTGGCCACGCCCATAGAGGAACCTCGTCTAGACATCAACAAAATAATTTCAAGCCACATGTGAACATAAAAAAAATGAGTAACCTGTAATCAAATTCAGACCCAAACTCGAAAATCTCTGAAAAAAGAAAGACACCACACACACAGGGGGTTGTAAAAAAAGCAGTAATCGTCAAAAGCATTTGGACGGGCATCTACCAACTGATCACTTTGATCAGCACTCAGCAGCAGCATCCTTTAATTTTGTCAGATAGTGGAGAAGGTCGACGAGGGAAGGAGCTGGACGGATGGATCACGATCACGACGACTGGGTGCAGTTGACGTTGCCGCAGCCGCAGGTGTGGGGCGTGAAGGCGCAGGTGCCGAAGGGCTTGCCGGGGAGGTCGCAGTCGATGGCGTAGCAGCAGCTGGTGTCCACGCAGCTGCTCGTGTTGGACGACGAGCAGCACCGGCACCCTTGGCACAGCTCGAACGGCTCGTACGACACCACCGTCGTCGCCGATGGCAGCTCGGACGACGATGGCCGGTACACCACGCTTCTCACCGGAACGTACTCCTCTGCTGATGCTGATGGTCTTCTGCTGGACTGCTTGCTGCCGCTGCCTCCTGCTTGTTTACGTTTACTCAGGAGTCAGGGCAGGGGGTTAGAACTGAATCAAGAACACATTATACATGCATGATGATCCAAGCGAATCCATGCAGCCATGAATGAGCTAGCGATCTGCTTGTTTAAATTTTTAATAAATCTACTGTAGGGGTGCGAACCCCTCCAGTTTCCATCAAAATGGACATACGGCGGCCACCAGATGGACAGTCGATTGGTTGTATGCATAACTCATGCAGAGACCGAAATAAAATTCCTTAAAAAAAAACAGATGGACAGTCGATTGGTACGAACCTTGAGCTTGGAGGGAGAGGGATAGGAGGAGGAGCAGGATGAGGGAGATGATGGGAGCACTACGATTAGCCATGGCAAATGGGTTTGCTTTGCTTTGCTCTGCTCTGGCGAGGGAAGCTAGGAAGAAATTGAGGCCGGGGCTAAACGCACTGCCAGTACTAAAATGGTTTGGCCGAGCAACATGTTGCGTGAAGGGAAGGCTCACTGTACTCCCATGATGTGTCTTTAGACTCTGAAGATACCGAAGCTATGTGTGAAAGTTGAGTGCTCTAGGAAGGAAGCGTCTGGAACTGCAAAATTCTTCTTCAGAGGTTTCTTATATTGGAAAAAGGTTCGAGAGCTGAAGAAATCTGTGCAGCCGCTGAGCAATAATCGACACCGACCGAACAAATGTTGTGCGTGCCAGTTCATGAAAACGGCTGACATTTCTCTGTCAAATAAAGGGAATATGGACTAATATTGGACTACTTTTTTTCACACTTACGCATTAGTACATGTCACTAGCAGTGACACGACACCCCTACCAAACCAAACGCGCCCAAAAGACAAAAAAATATCCAAGGAGCACAGAAATAGAGAGCGAGATAACCCAAAGCTGCGTCTGCAAGACCATCGTCGTCAGACCATTGTATTTGAACGAACACGTATAGATTGTGTCACTAACTTAGTATACCACACGGATTATATATTGTACTTATATAAATAAATTAGAAAGCACATTATTATATCCTTTTCCGTCCACATCGTTGCTCTATTCCTGCGAGTCACCGATTGTGACACTAGTTTTTCTCGAATACACATGAGCATGCATATCATCATTGCATTAAGAAGAAAGAAGTGTCAAATATACAAGAGTTTCGTCTGCTTTATTAATTATAATTAATTTCCCTAGACAAACTCTTGGTGCAAGCGGTAGAGTCTTACCGCCTATGACCGAAAGGTCCCGGGTTCGAGTCACGGTCTCCTCGCATTGCACCGATGAGGGTAAGGCTTTGCCACTAACACCCTTCCCTAGACCCCGCACAGAGCGGGAGATCTCTGCACTGGGTATGTCCTTTTTTTAAACTCTTTGGTCATATATAATAATATATATTTGTATACAAACGGAGCATAGCTGGATTAGATGATTGGGTTACTTATAGTAGAACGTGCCCACCTGCCGGTATTTAACGATGTTGTAGGCGACGTGCGCAATTCTTAGACTTCCCAAATCTAAGATTTAACTGTGTTATCTACTATACCTAAATAAGAGAAACCAACTAGAGGATTTTCCTACAATTTCGTGAAGCTATGCCACCTAGATACACTTCTACCTCCCATGAATAATCATCTCCGTCGCCCTCTTTAGCTTCCACCAGGCTATTGGTAACTGATGATAGTGCGAAAAAACAGTGCCACCAGCCCACCGTACCGTACCACTAGGCCATCAAGAGTCCTTTTGTCTTGGTACCTGATGCGACAAAGCTGAAAGAGTCCTGTCTACTACACAACCATGCATTTTATGTAATTTCAACACATGAATTTTTTTCACCATAGGATGAAGATCCAACAGCTTCCACCCTTCTTCTACCTCCAGCCTCTAGCTTTCTTCTACCTCCAGTCAATCACAAATCACAATATCACAGATCCACAGATCACAAGAAATATTTTTTTCTGTGGAAAGACAAATCACAGATCGCAGAGCACTACTACAGAATGGACTTGTTGTCCCGGGCGGTAACAGCCTTTAGTCCCGGTTACCGCGCCGGGACAACGATCCCGGGACTAAAGGTGGAACCTTCAGTCCCGGGTCGTCGAGCCGGGATTAAAGAGGGACCTTTAGTCCCGGTTGGTAACACCAACAGGGACTAAAGGCCCTCCAACAGAAATTAACTGGCACAAGATTTTTAGTCCCGGTTGGGGTTACCAACCGGGACTAATAATTCACTTTTTAGTCCCGGTTGGTAACCCCAACCGGGACTAAAGGTTCCTTTTCTTTTTTTTTTTTTGTTTACTTTGTTTTCAGTTCAGTTACACGTATTTGTTTAATATATAATATGTTTTTATGTACGTATTCTACGTTGCTAATATAAATACACGCATGCATATAATTACATCTAATTCTCATCTTGAGCATTATTATATTCGAATAAAGTATGAAACTATATATATTATAGATATATATATATATATGTTATATACAACACTTTCATAATCTTGTTCTCGAAAATAATGATATCAATAAACATTTAATTTACATAATTTATTCCTTAAGATCAAAGTAGAACTCGCCGTTGGGATTTAGCACTTTTTCTAGAAGATATCCTGCTATTGACTCTTGAACTGCTTTCAGATGGTCTTTTTTGTATGACCCTTCGTTTCAACCATTAGGTCTTGCATTTGAAATAAAAAAAAGTATTAATACACATATATGTATATATATTCATTTAAAATAAATAAAAATTGATATATACGTACTCTCGAGGACATCTTCAGGAGTTCTTCTTATGTGCTTGAGTGATAAATTCACAAGCGTAGTATCCACATAAGTTATTACACGGTTTCGCCATAAACACCACCTGCATACGAGAAGAAGATTATTCTCATCATCTCACACGTAAATTGAAGTACGATATAGTAATTAAACACGTGGGGAAGTGTATATAGTACAACTTACTGGTATTTCAACTACATTAAGTGGTGCCTTGCAATCCTTGCGATGTTGCCGAATAAACTCTTTCCAAACCTTGTGCGACCAATAATGTACGATCGTTAATAAATTATGGCAAAGTCTATTCAATAATAGTTGTGCGCGAGAGATCGAAATTACCCCTGGATAATGTCTATCATATCTTGGTATAGTGCCCGTTCTTTTCTCAACGAGTCAAAGATTAGTAACCGACTTGAGTTTAACTCAATGACAATGAGTATCCAGTGAAAACTGCATTGGTTTATACACACACGTACATGCATATAAGTTGTATTGATATTACATAAAATGTGTAGACTACATTATTATTAACACTTACTCAAAGTTGTACAGGAAAAGTATTGTTGTCTTGTCGTGCTGCTTCATGAAGAACATCATGATATTCTCCTGTGCTCCAGATACCCATCGCTCCTTGATAATAATACCGGTTTTGAATACGATATAAGGATCAATGAAGCCAACACTGGTGTCTTGTATTCTTTGGAGCTCTGACATCTGGAATCTGTATATAAATATAAGTTACATGTGAGGATAATTATATACACGTACGCATGGAAGTGAGTTTATTAAATAAAAGTAAGAATCACTTACAAACAAAAGGAGCTAATGATTGATTTGTCCAGAGCGTCCAAGTGGAATAGTTGATGCAATTCTTTGAAACTAATATGTAAGATGTCATCGCCACGGAAGTAATGATGGTCTCTAAATCTGACAAAGATCCACTGCTCACCCCTGCCACACGCCTGCATGTACCACTTGTTGAGCAAGTACATTTGCGTACCCAATTCATTCAGAGCCGTAGGGTTGTACAGACTTTTGCCATATTTATAAGTCTTCCAGGTATCAACTTCCAGGTTCTGGATTGGAGCTTTGCCCGTCAATTGATCCAAGGTTAAACCAGTATCTTTAAAAAAAGCATTAAGGGCTTGAACCGACACTTCTCCAGAGTTGTCTGGTCGATAGACTTCTATGTTGGAACCATATTCATTAGCAACAACAAGATTTTGCATTGGTTGCTTCTGTTGTCCGAGCTGTGGGACATCCTTCCCTGATGCTCTTTTCCTTTTCTTATCTGCATCATGTGACTTTACGAGGGAGCGATCATAGTCTGATAGTGGCGAAGGCTTACGAAGTTCAATCATCTTTTTCTTGTGAGCATCGACCTACGCCTCAAAGACATCTCGTGGTATGTAAAAGTACGGCTTCTCCTTAAGCTTTGCTTGACTCTTGTTTTTGATATCTATAAAAAAATCTTTTACTTTTTTGTCTTCTTCAGCTGCTATTTGCTCATCAGTCTTTTCAGAAGTATTTCTTGAGAAATAACTCTTTTCTCGGGGTCTTCTTTGTCACGGGACCTTAGACGTCTTTGTAGTGCGTCATTTGTGGGGGGGTGGGGCGGTGTTGGAGATCGGCGTGGAGGCGATGAGGCCGGTGTTGGTGGAGACCGGCGTGGAGATGTTGGAGATCGTTGTGGAGGCGGTGGGACCGGTGTAGGAGTTGGAGATCGTTGTGGAGGCGATGGGGCCGGTGTAGGAGTTGGCGATCGCCGTGGGGATGAAGTCGTCTCGCCCCATGACTTGTTTGTGATGAGATGGGGAATGAATGATTAGGCTAGGTGGGAGAGACCCTGCTATAAAAACAATTTGTGTGTCAATTATTTTTGAAGCCAATAGAAAATTAATGGAAAATAATATTTCATTCACTTTCATTCGTACCTAGGGTGAGGTAGGGAAGCGGTGGCGCCCTGGGAATGATGATGAAGCGTTTGCGCCATTGAATAAATGTCTTCTCTGTTTCTCCTAGTGTCTTCTCCCCATCAAAGCCTTCAATGTCAAGAGGAACATTGCTTGTAACCTTTGAGCACTCTATCGGCCGAGGCGCTAGCATATCCGGGTTGAATAACCCGACCTATGGATTCTTGGTGTCTTCGTTCGGTCTATTGGAGATACAACCCCGACACCACCATGATTGATGCATTACCATCCGGAATGTGCAGCTCACATTTTGTTAGAGGCTCGGTAATGTCATCAACGAGGGAAGCGCAACCAGCGTGCGTCTTGAATAAGCGGCAGCTCCGTGAGAAGCACAACCGCTTTTCATCGACCAACGGGGCTAATGGTGACTCCGGCGTTGATTGCGATTGCATTTGACTCATTGCTAGCTGCACTTGCCTCTTGATCTCCTCCTGCATTCTTGCCTCAAGAGATTTTTCTCGTTCACGTGATTCAAGCAATGCTTGTCGTGACTCATCAACAAATTGCTCCAATGCACGAATTGATTCGCCTCCTCATCCTTCTTTCTCTGGCGGCTTCAGAGGTATCCTTGTCTGCTTGGGAATACGTGTAGCCACGGAACCGCCCCATAGCCTCTTGTTCGACCACCGT